CCTGCAGCTCCTTGGGAAGGTGAAGGGCTGGAGGGAAGTGCAATGGACACGGGTCCCCAGCCCAGACAATCCCCTCAGCAGGAATGCAAAAGGGGCCCTGGGTAGGCTCAGCCTGACTCCAACCCTGATCATCCCCACCCCACGAGGCAGGGACATGAGAGCTGCAGAGCAGCCTGGGCCTCAACTTGCCCCTTGGCTCCCCCTGTTGTTCTGGGTGACCTTGGGCAACTCTGGGCAAAGATCAGGCTGGCAGGCCTGCCTCAGTGGACTGCTTAGTGTATGGGGGTATGGAGTGCTGGAGGGAGTGTCTTGAGAAGAGAGGTGGGCCCCACGAGGGGTCTGGCAGTTTCTTCTTTGCATAGGACAGCCACCCCACCACGTATCTACTACTTACCACAGAGGTGACTCAGTGTATCTATCACTCCTTGGAATTTAAACCTCCACCCACTATTTCCTACCCTCATCCCTGGAGTGGCCGGTTTCTCCCCATCTGTAGTTCTACCCATCCTTCAATGCTCTCAGAAAAAAAAAATCATAATGATAACTATGAATTATTGAATACATCCCCTTAGCCAGGTATCTTGTTTCATCTTTACAGCAACCCTCTGAGTAAAATGTCGTCACCGTCCCCATTTTACAGGTGAGGAAACTGAGGCTTAGGTGAATTAAATGACCAAAGGCACCTCACTAGCTAGTCAGCAGTGGAAGGGGACTCAAACCCAGATCTGTGTGGCTCTGGGGCCCATGCTCCACGTGTATCTGTTATCACTCGCAGCCTGTATTTTCATAGGCCTGGTACTTCTGTGCCCTGTATCTGCCTTTTGGCTAGGAGTCTTGGAGGAAGGGCACATCCCTGGCACAGAGGAAATAATAGTGTTTGTTGTTGAATGACTAAATCTTGTTCCAAAATGTACCCAGATCCCTTCCCTGTCCTGTCCCTCTCCCTGTCCCAGGCCTTGCAGCAGCCAACACTTGGAATGTGAAGAGGCTTCCACGTGTCCAATCTTAGCTGGGGCCAGGGCTCGGAGGAAGGAACTGGCTTGTGACTTCGTCTGTCCTGTAGCTCTCCTCCAGAGGAAGCCCCTCCCCAGGTGCCTGGGCCCCGGGACAAGTCCTTGGTCTCCAGAGGAGATAATGCTTTTGTTCCTACTCAGATAAACAAACAGAGCCTTCTCTCCAAGAGTGTAATGCAAGGTGCAGGAGCAGCGCCCCACCCGTGGAGGCTGGCCTGGCCTTCCTCCCAAGGTCGCCAGCAGGAGCCTAGGGACAGCTAGACCCAGTTAGACGGAAGGGCTAAGCTCAGCCCATTTGTCAGGTGAATCCGCTCAGGCCCAGAGCCGGGAAGCCATGCCTGCAGGGCTACCAGCTTCCCTGCTTCTGCCTAACCATAACTCACACATAAGCACAGAGCCTCATGGTCACGCCACACAGGAGCACCAGTCACTATGTGGTCTCTGTAGGCACCTCCTGGAGTTTTGTGACACAGCAGCCTGTGCAGGTACCTGTGTGCATGTGCACGCACCTCCACCAGCACTTGCCATGACTCTGGGCCCCGTAGGCCCTTGCTCTCTCCCCCATCCCCTCCCTTCCGCTGTTCCTGCACTGTCAGATCAGAGCCACAGGAAGCAGGGCCAGCAAGTGTGCAAACCGAGAGCCAAGATGGGGAAGTTTATTTTCCAAGAATCATCTAAACACACGGGGAGTATTTTTAGCCACCGGCTCCCGCCCAGATGCCAAATCTAAACAGGGGTCCAGGGAGACAGCCCACTGGGGACATAAAGCAGCAGGCAGAGACAGGGTGGGACAGAGCGTTGCAGACCCCACCCTGCCCCTGGTCAAGAGGTCTGTCTACCTCGTATGACCACCAAAGAAGAAAGCTGACCATAGGAGCCGAGGAGGTGCAGAGAATTGACCCCAGACTGACAGGTCCCCGAATCCCTCTCTACCTCAGCATCCTCATCCGTGCCAAGGGAGGAATAATACCACCCTCGTAGGATTGTAGGAGGCCCATGCCCAGCACACAACAGGTATTCAACAAGCATGCATGACGGTCTGTGCTGGCGACCTCAGAGAAATCAGGTGGTGACCACTGAACCTCCCCTGAGCCTGGCCAGCTGTAGTGAAATGTGTGTACCTGGTGCACGTCCAATGCAGTGACCCAAGGGGCATCAGAAGTGAGTGAAAGCAGGGCTGAGGGCTGGGCTGGGCTCTCTTTCTGAATAAAGGGGCCACTAGTAGCCCCCTGTCATCTCTGAAAGAGCTGTGTCAGGAGCCAAGCCGGGTTGGGCCCAAAGAACTTAGAGCACCTTCTCCAGAGAGGAGGGGTTGCTGAGGGTGGTGGGGTGGCACAGAGGGAGTAAACTTATTCAGAAGAGGAGGCTCTTAAGAACACACACACACACAGGGATTGCCCAGCAGTCTCAGCCTCCAGGGTGTGGGGGACCAATTCCAGAGGTTGGCTGCCCACTCCTGGGTGACTGGCCAGGAGTGACCTTGCTATGAGCCATGTGCTGACAGCACCTGCTCCAGCCTTCAGGTGCAGGAAGGGCTGGCGGATTGCAGGGAGGAGGCCTGAACCCCTGGGCCCCCCGAACAAGCTGTGCCCATTCTAGCCCCTATGGGCCAAGTTTATTGTTGTGGGGTCAGGGAGATGGGGGAGGGTCGTGCGCCTTCTGCCTGGGATTGAAGAGGCCAAGGCTCCCCTAGTCTCTTGCAAAGAGCCTGCGACTTCCTGGTTCTGCTGCCATGTTCTTCACTGAATGTTGCCTTGAGGGCAAAGACGATGGGGGTTGAGGGTGCAGATGTGGAGGGGGAGGGGCAGTTCAGACTTTTGAGAACCCTGAGCCTGGGATGGGGGGTGGTGGTGCAACTTAGATCTCAGATTCCCTGCAGGCTGCGTGGGAACCAAAGAGAACAGGTTCAGTGTCCACACACCCCCTGCTGACACAGGCTGCCTGCTGTTGCCATGGTGACAGCAATACCAATCTTATACCCGCCCCACCACCCACAGCTGTGTGGTCACCAGTCGAGGGAGGGGTTGCTTATTCTTGGTCACGAAAGGGAGAAGGTGGGGGAAGCTAGTGTGGAGGGGGAGCAGCCCTTGTCCCTCTTCCCAGGCTTAGCTGGGGGTGGTCACTGACTCTGAGGGTACCGGCGTAGGAGAAGGCTTAGAGGTCACCTCCTCCAACCAGCTCCCCTCCCAGACCACAGCTGCTAGCACCCGGTAATGGAATCCCTGCCGGGGCGCTGCCCGGCACACAAGCCTCTGTGTGGGGAAGCTCAGCACCTCCAGACAGTGGAGCCTGTTAGAGAGGTTGTCTCCACACCACCCCGGCCCTGGCCCTTGGAGGCGCCTCTTCACCCAGCGAGGCCTGTTCTCGTCCGCTTCCCCTGCTTCTCAGGGCTCATGCTCCTTTCCAAATCCAGCCCTGCTCTGGATAACGAAGTCTGAGAGCCTGGGGCTCCTCAGTCCCTGGCTGCAGGCGCCTGGCCTGGCTTGGGACCCACCAAGGAAGCCCTTCTTTCTTTTTCCCTTGGCTTTCCAACCCCCTGCTCCCCACCCACCCCCTCCTAGCCTCACTCCCTCCTTGGACCCCAAAGGGAAAAATCATTAGAAACACTTTCGAGCGGCGGTGGAGCAGTGGTGGTTGGGACCTTCACTGACAACTCCCAAGTGCAAGAGCCAGAGACCCTTGGATTCACCTGCATCTCCTCGGAGCCTCACATCCATTTCTGACCCATCAGCTCCTGGACCACCGCAGCAGCCCCCTAGCTGCTCCCCCTGCTCGTCACCCAGTAGTCCCTGCTCAACAGCACAAAGACCCTCTGGTGGCTCCTAGTCTCTCCAGCTCAAAAGCAGCGTCTTTCCAAGATCTACTAAGAGGCACCTCCACCCCCACACACCTCTCCCCATCCCCTCCTCTTTCTCCCCCTTTCTTCCTCCCCCTCCTAGCTGGCCTCCCTGCTGTTCCTCCCCACAGGACAGGTGCCTGCTCTCCCATCCACACCTGAACACTTGCTAGCTCCAGATAGCCTCCTCCCTGGCTGCCTCCAAATCTCTATGCCTCTTCCTGCCAACGCCTTCCCTGCCCACCTGCCCTTCCTGACTGACCTTTCAGCATAGCCCTCAACTGCCTTCCGATACATTGTACAATGTGTGTCTTTTACTTCCTGTGTCTCCCCACTAGACTGTGAACTCCAGGAGGGCAGGCATTTTTGTCTGTCTCATTCCCTGCCATAGCCCCAGTGTCTAGAACATAGACACTCAAGAAACATTTTAGCAAATATTATCGATGAATCCCCCCCATTAGCCACCTCACCTAGGCTGTACCCACACATAACCCGCACTATCCATCCTTAGTACAGAGAAAGCACTGGCTGGGGCTTCAGTCGGCTCTGCCATAGCCTGTGTGGCCTCCACCCAGCCTGTCTCCTTTCTCTGTGTTGGAGCTCCGAGGTGCCTTCTGCCTCTCTCCAAGTAGGGTGTAGACACAGAATTCACAAAGGCGGGGACGGGTGCCTTGTGGTTCCTGTTCAGAAGAAATCTCCAGGCCTTAAGGCTCATACCCTGGAACAGGAATAGGCAGAGGGCAACAGGACAGGGGGCGTGGTGGGAACTAAAAACAGACCCAAGAAAAGTTTCTCTAAAAGTATATCCTTTTTTTTTAAGATTTTATTGGGGAATTGGGGAAGGGAACAGTGTTGGGGAATTGGGGGAGGGGGACATTGTGTTTTTTCAGGACCCATCAACTCCAAGTCAAGTTGTCCTTCAATCTTAGTTGTGGAAGCCGCAAGCTCAGCTCCAAGTCCGGTCACCATTTTCAATCTATTTGGTGGGGGGGAGGTGCAGCTCACCATCCCATGCGGGAGTTGAACCGGCAACCTTGTTGTTAAGAGCATGCGCTCTCACCAGCTGAGCCATCCGACCACCCGTTGGCAGCTCATCAGCAGCTCAGCTCGGGCACAGCTCACTGGCCCATGTGGGAATCGAACCAGCAACCCTGTTGCTCAGAGCTCGCACTCTAACCAACTGAGCCACCCGGCTGGCCCAAATATATATCCATATTTTAATCATTAAAGTCCAACCTGGGAAGCCTGTGGAAGAGAGGCCCAAGACCTCCAAGGGCTGAAGTCAGAAGTCAAGTGTCCAGAAGAGAGCCATCATCAGAGGAAGCCAGCCATCAGGCAGGTGAGCATGGGGACCAGCAGGGTGGGCAGCGGCAAGGGCAGCAGCCGTCCTGGGGCCTGGGACTTGAACACCTGGCGCTTCCCCCGGGACCGCAGGGGCCTGACGTTGTTTGTCATTCCCAGTTTCTGTTCTTTGTCATAGTACAGCTTCTCAGAGAACGCAAAGATCTGTGGAGGGACATGGCTCAGCAGGGAGGGCAGGCAGGTAGAGCTGCACTCCCTGCTATGTGACCCCCAGCTGGCCACCTTGCCTCGCTGAGCCCTTGGGAGTGAAGGTGCTAGGAATCCCTACCACTCAGGTTTCTTCACAGATGGAAAGAATAAGAGGTATAAAGCATAATACTAGGCACTGGTGGGGGCTCAATTCCCATTAGCTTCCCTCAGCCTGTGATTACAACTACTGTTATCACTGTTACTATAGGACAGTGGTCTTCAAGCCTGAGCATGCATTAATGTCACCTGGGGGGCTTGTTGGGTCCCAGACTGTCGGGTCCCACCCCCAGAGTTTCTGATTCAGTAGGTCTGGGGTGACACCCAAGAATTAGAATGTCTGGAAAGCTCCCAGATGATGTTGACACCACTGGTCCAGGGACCACTCTTTGAGAACCACCGTCCTGGAACGAAAGTACCACTGGGGCAGGGACTGGGGCCTTGTTGGCTCACTGCTGTGTCCCCGGAGCCTCATGTGTTGTACAGACTCGAGTACCATTTGTTGAATGAATGAACTGGTTTCTTCCTGTGGCTACCCTGATCCTGTCTCTCAGCTGCTCATGGGCCAGCCCGGCCCTCCCATGCTGGCATCTCTCCCCAGGACACAGGCCCCCCCCCATCTCCTTTTCAGGGTGCAGCCTGGGCTCCTGCCACAGCCTCCCCTCCGGCCCTCAACCCAGGGATGGGACAGCTGGGGCCTTTCTTGTCTCTCTCTCTCCCTCTCTCTCTCTCTCAGGGAGTGTCTGTGGATTCAACCAACAGGCCCTCAGCTCCCTGCGGTGCCCCACCCCCACCCCAGCCCAGGGGGCCTCTGGGGGGATCCAGAGGGCCGGTTTCTGGGGAGCTGGGCAGTGGGAGGCTGCACCCTTGGCCGGGCCCTATGTACCTGGTCCCTGTGGAGCTGAATGGGCTCCCTGAACACAGTCCACACAACTATCTCGTCACAGCTCGGCGTGGTGAGTGAGCCCAGGTAGCGGAAGTAGCACCTCAGCTTCTCCTCATTGGGGAGCAGGTCTAACAGGCTGATGCTCTCTTTTAACGTGGTGTTCATGTCTGGTGCGGGGGTTGGGGGGGTAGTGGATAAAGGATACCCCGTTAGTTGGAGAGGGAAGAGGGAAATCTCTGAGGCTCTGATACCCCCCTCCTACACCTCACTCTGAGAGCCTAGGCCCCCTTTTGTAGGAAGAAGTCTCCACCCCTCCCCTCACCCCCTCAGCCTCCTCCTCCTGGTCATCCTGACTCACGGGGTCTGGGGATATCAGACAGCGCCTCCACAAAGGGCCGGAAGCCTTCATTCTTGGATCCAGCCTGGAACAGGAGGGAAGGGGTTTGAGAGGGGTGTGTGGGGAGCTGGTGGTAACCACCAGTTCGTTCTCTTAGTCTGGGATAGGGAGGGCAGGCAGCGTCTGAGACTGAGGCCCTGAGATGCCCTGGACTCCCCACCTGGGGCTGTACAAATCACTGGGAAACAGAGGAGAAGTGGGGGCCTCCCCAAGCCCCTCCTGTCTTGCTAGAATCCCAGGTCTCTGGATCTTAAGAAGCAACCCCTCGGACCCTGGGGGATGGGGGTCCCACCTCCACCAGGAAGGCCAGCACTGCGATCTTATTTTGGTCCTCTTTCTCGTCCCTTGATGTCCCCGTGTCTTTCATATGTACTATGTGCATCTGGTGGTGGTTGAGAGGGATGGAAGGAGGACTTGTGAGGGGCTGGACCATTCTTCTTGCCTAAGGCAGGTACATCCAGAGCCCAGCCTAGGCACGGACCCAGTGTGGGGGGGGGCACTCACCTCCATGGCAAAGTGCTCCCCATCCAGGCTGTGCTCCGAACCTGCATCCAGCACCTTGGACCAGTGCAGGTGCAGCTCTTTGGCCCGGTACTGGGAGGCCAGTCCTCCTCCAGCAACTGTGACCCCGTCTCCCAGCCACATCTTCACTGGAGGGCACAGGAGGGGGCAGAGTCCTCACACCCCCCTTCTCTAGCCTCTGCCAGCCACTCTTCCCAGCTCCACCTAGGCAAGACCTTTGCTCCTACCTCCCATCCTTCATGTGCTCTGGGCCTGGAGGGAGGCGATGAGATGGGTGGTACAGCTCCGGGCCTTTCCTGCCCCCTCACTGGCCTCCCTGTCTGCCTCTCCCTCTGCACACACACCACTGCCCCAAACATGAAACTCGGTCAATTCCTCTCCTGCTCCAACCCCTTCCGAGATGCCCTGGCGTCCTCAGGAGAATGTCCAAACTCCTCAGCCCTGGGTGACCTGCCCCTGGGCCCAGCTCTGCTGACCCTGGGCTGGCTCAGCCCCTCCCAGCTTCATTCTCTGTCCTCCATCCACACGAAGCCACGTGCAGTTCCCTGAACACCCCAAGCTGTTTCACGCCTGCACGCCTTTGCACATGTTGTTCCTTCATCCTGGAACGTTTCCCCTCCCCTCACCCCCAGCCTGGTCTGATGAAAGTATGGAAAATACTGCTGGCGTGTTCCCTGCTTTCTGAGGCCCTTCCTGTACCCCCTACCCTCACCCAGCTGGACTGTCCAGCTTCTCAGCAAAGGTGGACCTTGTGCCCTCTCAACCCCAGGGAACTCGAGGGTCCCTGGACCCAGTGCCCATGCCTGCCCAGGTCCTCTCTCCTGCCTGCCCAGGACCCACCTGTGTGCCCATTGTTTTCGACAGTCCACTTTTTCTTCTTGTCGTAGCCAGAGAAGGAGAAGCGTCCCAGGTTTGGGTCCAACTGTGCCTTGGTGGTGACAATGTTGATGGGGGATTGGCGGTCCTTCTGGCAGTTGCCACCCCACTTGTCCGGTCCTGAGCAGGGAGGGAGGGCGGGCTGAGTCAGGGGGCGCCTCCTCTGCTCCCCAGAGCTCAGGCCCATGCGTCTAGCTCTCATGCAGCAAGGTCTTCGGATGGCTGGTAGGCTGTGCTGCAGGGGCCTTCCTCCTCAGATGCACTCACACTCACAC